ACTAAAGGACTAGATATCTTTTGATCTTAGTCAGTGTTATACATATACGACAATCTATGAAACATATTAAATAGACCCACATACATCATTTATACATAGTAAGAAGTAAAGAATATGCTTAGCAAATGTCTTCAGCATTTTCACTTAATTACAAATAGCTCGGATGTTTACTTACATATTTATGTAATTTTTAACAATTACCTTTATATCGTCCACAAAATGTAAAATATCTGACAAAAACAAGTTCATTTCCCAAAACAATTTTTACTTTTAGTTCAGGAAAAAAATTTTAAAGTTGTAGTCAATACTTGGATATTGTGACCATAAACACTACAACAGAATATTATTTAAAAATCTTTGAAGGGTTTTCTGGGGCTATGAAACTTGAATATTTACATTGACCCCAGAAATTATTTTTTAACCCAAATCTCATATCACCAAAATCAAACTATACTGGCTAATAAGAATGCCCATAAATGCATCCACTTGAAGGCCCACAAAAGGAGCTTTACTAGTCATAGGCATTGTCTTGGTTACTTTTCTCATTGTTGAGATAAAATACCCAACACCCAATGTTAAAGGAAGAAAGATTTATTTCTGATTATAGTCTGTAGTGGTTTCATTCTATAGTCAGCTGGCTCCAATGCAGGGTGGCATGGCAGAGGGGCACTGCAGAAAAGAAACAGTCCATGGCAGGGCTGACAGGAAGCATCAGCAGAAAGTGAAGCTGCAGCAACAAGCCTCCCTTTCCCTTTTATCCCATCCAGGCTACAAGCTTTTAGGGTGGTGCCACCCACACCAAGGGCGTGTCTTCCCATTATCCATAGCCAGAAGAGTCTAAACCAGTCAGTGGACTAATTTAGTTAATCACATCCTTAATTCACATTCACACTCCCTAGATCCAGCCACTTCTGAAAAACCCCACCTATGAGTGCATGGACTTTCATTAGATTATGTCTAATAAACAGAAACTTTTAATTATTCCCACTTCTCTACCATAATAAACCACAGGGATGTCTGTTACCTAAGCCAACTTCTGCTGAGTAGAATAACCAAGTAGCTATCAATCACTGGAAACCACCCTTGTTTAAGAAAGCAGCCCTGAGAACATTTTGGAATGAACCAATCCTTAAACTGATGCAGCCATCACATAGAGACACCATAAGGGATGGGAAACAGGGAGACTGGGACCTAAAAGTAGAATTTGCATTTCATTTTTTTCCCTCCTTGGACAGTCAAGAATTTAAAATACATTTTTGCTATGAACCATAACTTTTTAAACCAACGTCTAGCAAAATATCGCCTCTTAGGACCCTTTCTACTAATACTAGAAGCAGCCTTCATACATAACATTCTGAGAAGCTAAACAATTTAAACTGTTACATAAAAGAATGTCCAGCCAGTGTTATATTAGTATGTGTCACATTATCTCAATGTTCAACTAACTCTGATTTCCAAGAGTCTTTAAGGTCCTAACAAATTCTTGCCTGGTGTGGTGTGGCACGCCTGTAATCCCAGCACTCCAAAGCTGAGGCAGGAGAACTGCCGTGAGTTTGAGGACAGGCTGAACTTTTTATAAATCTTTGTAAAACTGAAAATACTCTTCTAAAAGTCTAACACCTAAAATTTAATTCTGATTGGCTAAGACAGGCAAAATTCATGTTAACAGTTTTGAAAACATCTTTGTTACAGCTTTCAAAATGTTTTCTTAAGTTATATTAAAAAAAAGGCATTTGGGTTTATGCTTTCTTAATTTTTTTAAATTTTATTTTATTGGTACATTTTAGGTATACAATACAATGACACTCATCATTGGAAATTTGCACCTTTACATAATCTCTCTTGGTTCTTATTTTTTCCCCCTTCCCCTGTCTGCTTTGTTTTGTTTTTTGAGACAGGATCTTTCTATATAGTTCAGCCTGGCCTTGAACTTACTATGTACCCCAGACTGGCTTTGAGCTTGAGGTGATCCTTCTGCCTCAGCCTCCTGAGTACAGGCATGTGCCACCATGTCCAGTGATGCTTTCTTAATTATTGAGAGCTCTCATTTTTAAATTAATCTGGTACTATCTAAACAATATACAAATGCATGTACACACACAGATATTATATTTAATACATACATTCTCACCAACACACATAAAACAAAGACCTAAATTTATCCTTGGCAAGCTTTTAAATAGTTACACTATTGGCATGATGTTTGTTTTTACCATCCTCTGCAATACTCACTCCTAAATTTGCATGTCTGAAGGTAGGATTCCTGGTTGCAGCAAGGGGAGAAACATGTCTCAGAGGAGATTACTTGCCCAGTTAATCTGAGTTTGAATTTCCTGAAGTTTTTTTTCTGCCTTCTTATAGATCTTCATTGATTTAGAAGCTCTTGGCTCAGGTTTCTAAGACATTTTTCACTGTGTTAAAATTTAGCCACAGCTGCTCAGGAGTTTACACATCTTATCCTGGGGCTTCTGTTGCTCAAGGCCTCTAGTGTGAAAAAAAGAAACCAGTTTAGGAACAATACTCCCCACTGAGGAAAACCCAGAGTCAGATTTCTCCATTTTTTCTAGTTAAAGGAATGAAGGGAAGGAGATAAAAATCAATATCCAGCAAACAGAAGTTTTGGAAAATAGTTTGAAATATCACTGGTTTAGAAGGAGTCAAGGACGGTTGGGCAAAACGAGGGGAAATTGAAAGCTCGATGAACTCAGCAACATTAGTCTGGTAGCTTCGTGGTCAGAAGCACTAGCTTGTGCGTCTCAGTGATGCAGAAAAGGGCAGGGAAAGCAGGTGTGTCATCCTGGCCCAAGTCACTCTGCAGGACCTTCTTCTTTTGTTTTTTTTTTGCTTAAATTCTTTTATTGGTACATTTTAGGTACACAATACGTTTACATTTATCATTGGGTGCTTGTACCTGTACATGATGTATCCTGGTTCTTATTTCTTCCCCATTCCCTGTGGTCCCTTCCCTATTTACATAGACTTCGTTTCCTTTTTTTTTTCCTCATAATTTTTCCTTTCCATTCTTTCCTTTCCCCATCTCCTTCCACCACCCCTACCCCTCTGGACCTTTTCCTATTTCAAAGTATCAATTATTACCTATTAATCCTTTTAGTCCTTATTTACACTTTCAGTTTCTCACACTAGAGAAACTATTCAGTATTTACACATGTGGGTCCTATTTATTTCACTTAAGAGTATGGCCTCAATATGCATCCATTTAGCTATAAATGACTCCAGTTTCTTGTTCTTTATGGCTGAGTAGTACTCCATTTTATAAAAAAACCACATCTTCTTTATCCAGTCTCCAGTTGATGGGCACTTGGGCTGTTTCCAAACTTTAGCTATTACAAACTGCACTGCTATGAACATGGGTGCACATATATCTCTGTGGTATGATTCTTTTAATTCTTTGGGGAAGATCCCCAGCAGGGGAATAGCTGGGGCAAATGGGACCTCTAGTCCTAGTTCTCTGAGGTATCTCCATACTGATTTCCACAGTGGTTGTACCAGTCTGCACTCCCACCAGCAATGGAGAAGGGTTCCTTTCTCTCCACACTCCCGCCAGCATTTGTTAGTGGTTGATTTCTTGACAGCAGCCATTCTTTCTGGGGTGAGGTGGAATCTCAGTGTTGTTTTCATCTCTATAGAACCTTCTTCAGGATGTGAAATCAGAGCACACTCTCTGTCATGCACAGGGCCTGTTGTGGCACAAGAAAACTACTGTTTCCCAGCCACAGCTAGCTATCACCTTCCTAAGGACTTGTGAAGTAGCATAAGCACTTTTTTTCCGCAGCAGTTCACAATAGGGCTCCTCAAACACACCAGCAGTGTCTCTGTCCTCGGAAACTCTCTCAATCTAAACTCAGCAAGTGGCTGCAGAACCTTGAACTCTGGGGCTCACAAAGAAGCCCAGAGCAACTTGAAGCCCCAAATGGCCACCTTAATCTACGTGGTACTGAAACCCTGCCTCACATCCTAGGATAAAAGTATTAGGAGAAAAGATAAAAGAAACAAAAGCAAACAAAAGCAGACCAAAACAAATGACTACAAGCCAAAACAAATGCAGGGAACATGTTTTTCCGACCGAATCTCTTTTTCACACCAGGCAGTGCCTCAGGATGACCTGCAATAGGTCCACAGTGGTCCCAATCAGCGAAGATCCTCACCCAAAGGATACCGACAAATGACCCAGATGGTGGGGACAGTAGATCCCTGGCGCACACCTTCCAGCAGGAAACCAGGGCGAGCTCGACAGCTCCCCACCCAACAAAAGCGTTTTCAGGCAGCCCATGGCATGCGCAGGGAGGGATTCTCCGTGCGCAAGTGTCCCCGGCAGCTGCTGGAACGTCCCTGGAGTCCTGTCCGTGGGTCGGGGCAGCCTGGAGCAGGCAGTCCTTCTGCCCAGGCGCCTGTCGGGATGCAGGGCTCTCGGGAGCAAGGACCTCGGCCCCTCTGTGGTTGCCCAAACTGTCACCTGCCATTCAGGTTCATGTGCCCAGGGTCATCAGCTCGCTGCCGACCAAATCAAAGGAAGCCACGCGTTTGGGTGAAAAGGAAGGGATGAGTTTATTCAAAGGCTGCTCTGAGGGGATGGGGGGGTCAGTTTGCCTCAAGTCACCGAGTACAGGCGGGCAGGGGTCTTTCTTGGACAGAAGGGGCCCTCCCAGGACCGGCTGTCTCCCTTCCCCGCCCGGGGGATGAAACTGTGCTGTCTCCCGGGTCCGCATCTGCAGACCGGGTCCTTTCCTCCGAGCCAGGGGAGGCGGGGGAGCCGTGTGCGTCCTGGCCCTGAGGAAGTTCGGAAGCCACTGTCTTTAGGGGGAAAATCACACGTTTAAAGTTCCTCCTCGCAGCGCCCGCCACACCCCTCGCTTGAGAGCTGGGGTATGAGAGTTCCTACGTGGAGTGCAGGAGGGCGGTGAGAGCCGCGCGCGGGTCGGGGGCGGCGCCGGCACGCCTGCAGCCTCCCAGAGGAGGGCTGTCGTCTCTCCTCTCCGCAGGCCGCCGGCTCTTCCCGCTCCCCGCTCCCCGCTCCCCGCTCCCCGCTCCCCGCTCCCCGGGCCGCGCCTGCGCCGCCCCCGGCCGCCCCCGCGCTCCCGGCCGCCATGGGCAGCTTCTCGGCAGCCGACTACCTGGTGTTCGCCGCGCTGCTGCTCGCGTCGGCCGCCATCGGCGTCTACTGCGCCCTGGCAGGCGGCGGCGCGCGCAGCTCCAAGGACTTCCTGACGGGCGGCCGCAGGATGCGCGCCGTGCCCGTGGCGCTGTCGCTCACCGCCAGCTTCATGTCGGCCGTCACCGTGCTGGGCACGCCCGCCGAGGTCTACCGCTTCGGCGCCGTCTTCAGCGTCTTCGCGCTCACCTACCTGCTGGTGGTGGTGGCGAGCGCCGAGGTCTTCCTCCCGGTCTTCTACAGACTGGGGGTCACCAGCACTTACGAGGTGAGGGGCGCCGGAGCGAGCAGCAGAAAGAGCCTGCCGGGCGCACCGGGCTCCTGCTCCTGGGGCTCCTTTGACTTCCAGCCCGGGAAGGGATTTTAACTCTCCGGACCGAGGGGGAGTCGGGGTGCGCACCTCACCAGCGCGTCCTGTTTGAAAGGAAGGCCTTGCTGGGGTCCTAGCAGCACCCACTTTCCGGAAAACCGACAGAGCACGGCCACTACCCCACCTTCTCTGAGTTAGGTACCCAAAAGCCTGGGCTGCAGGGCTCTTGCCCTAGCACCGCATGGAGGCTGGATTCTGACATTTACCACCTGGGTGACTCGGCCACTTATTTAGTTAAACGTCAGCACCTCTTTCCTCATCTCAGCAGGAAGATTACATCGCCCACCTCACTGGGTTGTCGGGAGGATTAAATGAGGCGGTGCGAGGTGTTGCATTTAGAACAATGTTGGCCGCAGACCGGAGTATTGGACAAATGCTGCCCTCACTTCTTTTGGTGATGGCAGGGGTTATCTCGTGATCACTAGAAAAATCCAGCAGTGAGAGCCTCGAGCAGCTCTGCCATTTCTCTGTGGACAGGCAATTGAGGAAAACCCTGTTTCTTCTACTGCACGCGTCCCCTGGATATAGTTTTCTTGCAGGAAAGGGCTCTGTACAGGAGGTGACTGGTTTCTTTCAAAGAGGCAGTAAGTAGGAGGGGAGGGCATGAAGCTCCTTCACTGGGTCCTGGCCAGTGCTCCTTGTTCAGGGCTGTAGCAGTCTCCTCTCCCAGGCCGTGGTCCGGAGGGCCCGGTGTCTCCTCTCAGCGGGCTCTCTGGCCTGGAGTTTATCTGATGTCTGTTCCACACCAGGGCTACTGGTAGGTGGTTTCCTAGTGAAGTTGGTGCAGGGACAATAGCACAACAAACCTTGGTGACAGATCTGGCTTGGTCCCTAGTGATGCCCCCTGGGGCGAGGCACCCCGGGGAACCACTGTTCCTCTCCCCCTGGTCTCTGTGCTCCCCCCCTCCCCAGGAGAGCTCAGGCATCACCCTGGAAGCGAGCAGGGGGCATTTCTGCCATGTTTTGAGGTGACAAATTGGTTGCCCTAGACCAAAATCATCACTCAGCTGTTTTTAAAAAAATATTACAGTGTTATAAAAAATACTTAATTTAGCATTTAACAGTGAGGAGAAAGCAAATAAAATTCCAGATTCTGACTTCTTTTGAAAACTCAGAAAATTGGTGACATCGGGTCCACATTCTCTGAGACCACAGTGCCTCCCACGTATAGCAATTGCTCCCACTCTGTTCATTTCTCTGCTGAGACCTCACTGTGTTTGCGTGGTTCCTTTCTATGGTGGAGAAATCCTCCTCTGCGTTTGTGTCGCTATCAAAAATGCAAAAGGGAGAAATGCACCGCCCTGAAAGGGAGCTCTTGTTCCAAAGGAGACGAGAGAGAACCTGTTTCTTAGCGGGGGTGAGGGCTGTTGCCCTCTATGCACACACCCTCTTTGCTCTATGCACACACCTAGCCCGTGTTGCTCACGTGTGCCACGCTGTGGGACCTGTAGGCAGTGAGCCTGTGAGTCTGGCCTGTACTTAACCAGCTCCAAAGCGTAGGCAGGGTTTGAGTAATCTGGCAAGAGGCCCTCAGTCCCCAGAGAGAATGCTGCTCCCAGGCGCTGGCCCACGCCTTCTTGGGCTGCAGCTTTAACTTAAACATAGACAACTTTCTCACGTGTTTCTAGTGATGGCAGCTATGTTAGCAGGGTTCCAGGTGACAGTGGCAGAAAGTTAGCCTTTGTGGAAAGCTGGGACCTTGAGCTACATGCTTTATATACATTACCCCACTCAGTGCTCAAAAACTCCTTACAAGGGAGCTTCCCGGAGAGGCTCATCTTGCAGATGAAGGGACTCAGAATAAGTGAAGCTAGCCAGAGAGTTGGAAGCAAGGTGGATGCGTGGCAGCATACTGGCTGCTCCGGAAGGCTCTGGTGAGTCTGAACAGTCCTGAGCTGGGCTTAACACCCATGTGTCCAGAACAAGGAGGAAATACAGGATGCATGGACTTGGGAGCAGTGTCCCTACACCAGGGGTGTCCGGCAGTTGGGGACAGGCAAGGTGGGCAATATGCTGAGCTCCTGTTGGTCATGGCAAAGCCTTTCTTATAAAATACCTGTGAGTTTATGCTGCGAGGTGGAGCCATTTGTATAGAACGTGAAGTCTGATGTTCTTGCTCAAATATAAAGTGTCCCCCTATTGATATTCATATAGCTCAAGTTGGTGATCCACAAGCATCTTAAATACCTATTTATCACTGCCTTCACTGTGTAGGCTTGATAGGTGTTCAGCAGCGTCCAGACCCATAGACTGGCAAGAAGTGTATATAAGAACTCATTTTAATTCATTGCTGCTTCAGAATCTTTCTGGATCCAGCTGAATCTGTGCATTTGAGCTGAGTTTCTTGGGTCTTTTTAATTCTTTTATTTATTTTATCAACAGAAATTGAAGGGTCCCTAAATTATTCAAAATTCTTAGGTCTATGAATGATCTTGATTGACTATAGGTGCTTATAGTTACTCTGTAGTTTTGCCTGGACATCCTAAAACTACTTTTTAAAGCTTATTACACAGTGACTTAGACTTCAAATTCACCCTCTGAGTTGATTCCACTGTAGCTTTAGGGACCACGGAGAGCTGACAGAGTGATAGATTTCTTGGTTATGTGTTGAGTTGGTTCTGTGTGTGCTTAAACATATTGCTTTTCCAGATCAGTTGATCTTGGAAAAAAAATATATATGACATATAAATGCCTTCCAGTTTATTTGGTTCAGGTATCTACATTCTTACCTCTGTCACATTCTGCTCTTCTTTTCTTTAGTCTCTCTATCTTTTCATGTCCATTCATGTGTAATAGAGGCTTGCTTAAAGAATTCTGCAGAAATAACACTGCCCTGTGTCCAAGGTTCAGCAATTTCTCCAGTCTTCTAAAATGCCTTCCAAAATGTCCGTATGTGATTTTGATACAAGGAATTCACGAGGCTCATGGATTTAGATTACACCAGCTTTTTGGAGGAATATTTTACTTTCGAATGAAACATTTACAACACTCCCCCCATCAGTTTATATCATTGGAGGATCTACAAAATGCTGCAAAAGAAGAGGGGGAAGAATTGTTACTATGATCCTCATTTGCAAGACAAAGTGTGAATGTGAGATTTGGAGAGAGGTCGCTTCAAGCTCAGGAGTCGGGAGGGGGACAGGGTCAGGGGCTGGTACTAATCAGTGCCTGCACTGTGTTGTGTATGTGTCACTGTGAGCTATTTTTGGCGGTTCTATTTTGTGTCAGTGTCATCTGCTCAAAACTGATTCCTGGACACATAGTTGGATTGTTTACTTTGGGTACCAAAGCTTCTAAATGTGTGTCATGGTCCTGCCAGTGTTGAGATCTCGAGCTTGGAGTCTTTTCTGATCTCTGGGGGGTCCCATCACTAATGTGGGCTTCTACATAGCCTCTGCCTCCTCAGGTTATTGGGAGGACACTGTGCCCAGCAAGGATTCTGGATGTGTTTGCTACGACTATGGAGAAAAATATCAGGTGTCTTTTCCTCCAGTTATTACCTAAGGCCAGCTTTTCATTCTTCTGTTTCCTGCAATATTATAACAAGACTATTGTGCAGACATTGTATGCAAATTTAAAAACACCTTGGATTTCTCCTCTGGAATTCTGATTGGAACTCTGTACTATGTTATGGTACACTGTAGAAAAATAAGCAGACCATGTTAGAAGACACTGCAGATTTTAGGGAGATAGGGCAGGATGGTTGGCTCTGAACAGGAACTGACGTGGGGGATTTACGTTTTAAACAGTTGTGTATGTACGTGTGACAGCTGTGAGCATAGTGCAGAGAATGGAGCTGAGGCTGAGTGGAAGAGCTAGCTTCTCCTTGCCTCCCACTAGGTAGGAAAGCTGATTGGCTGTGCCGGGTCATGTGATTTCTTCTTACTCAGAAGCACTGAGGCACCTTGATGACAATCCTATCACAACTGGCGGGATTTGGAAAGGGTTGAGTACCCACGCGAATTGAGGGAACTGTACAGAGCAGACACTAAGAGGAAGGGAAGAGCAACAGGTCACTTACTCTACAACAAATCAATATTCCCCTTAGGTGACGATTTTCCAATCTTTCCAGGTCAAAGTGGGGATAAAGAAGAGATGAGTGATTAGTAGGGTTTGGGGTGAAAGGGAGGCTTCACTAAAGGGTACAGCAGCAGTGTTTGGGGCAACAGAGCTACTCTTGTGACTCAGTGGAGACAGGGGTCACACAAATCTTTACGTGGGTTAAAATCCATTGACTTGTGCTCTGAATTGAGCCAACTCTGCTGTATGTAGGTAAAACAACAGAAAACACAGAGGGCACAAATGGGTTGTGAAATTGCCTTAGATTTCTAACCCTTTTTTCCTTAAGCTACTGATAAAAACAGAAATGTTCAGAGGATTCACATCACAACTGTTTTTCCTTTCTTTCGCCACAGTATTTAGAACTTCGGTTTAACAGATACATCCGCCTCTGTGGAACAGTCCTCTTTATTGTTCAAACGGTAAGTAGCTCTCCATTCGTGTATTCTTCCTCTTGTCACTAAAATATTTTAATCCGTGGCATCTGGGTGAACCTTACTTGGGAAACGCATGAAGGATAAAAAAGATGTTGAAAATATGAGGAAATGAAACAGAAAACACTTGTTGTTAGCCATTAGGGTATTAAGCCTAAACAATGTTGCAACAAAAACTTTACTTCCTGGAAAAATAGAAAGACTTAAGTGAATTTAAATATTTTATCAATCAAGCAAGAGGTACGTTGCTTTCCCCAGCCCCGCCTGGACCAAGGTGAGAGTTAAGGCATTTTGAATTAAAATGAAAGAATTATAAGCTCTGGAGCAGTTCTTAAAGACAAACAATTCAGCAATTTCAGAAGAATATGCACATAGCCAAATATAATCCCAGCACTCTGGAGGCCAAGCGGGTGGACAGTAAATTCCAGTTCAGCCTGGGGAATTTAGCACTTTTCTGAGACCTTATTTCAAAATAGAAGTTAAATAAACAAAAGGGTTGGGGATAGAGCCCCATGCCAAGGCTCTGGGTTCAAGCCCTAGTGCTGCAAAAATAAAGAATATGCAAGTATAGATGCAGTGTTTGTCACAGAGGTAAAGCAAGGATTTGGGAAGTGACAAGTGACTGACAAGTGCTTTCTTCACTTCCTGGGCTGATGGAGGATTTCCATGACCACTGCCACCTCGTTTGTACCTCTTGTCCTCACAGCATTAAGCACATAGGGGCTGGAGTTTGGTTGTGGACTTTGGGGAGGGATTTCCATTCTCATCCCTAAAGACAATCTTGTTTCTCCCATCAAAAGCCACTTAAGCGTTTACTCCAGCGAGACAGAGTGCCTTTGGAAAACTTCAAACTGGATTCCATTTTTATCTTTGCAAAGCATGGAGAAGGAAGGTGGCTTTGAGGGTCTGGTAGAGATTCTGACTCAAAGGTGAGGTAGCTCGCATTGTTCAGATCCTCATGAATTTATGCTAAAGATGCTCCCAGGAAGAAGAGAAGTGGGGACAGTCCTTAGCAAGGCAGCCCGTCACACTCTTAAATATTCAACTTGGACAAAGCAATGATCTTGGGCAGCTATCTCATTTTTTTCCCAAAAGAAAGGGGTTGTAGCATTTCTCATTTGAAGGACTTGCTTCCCTATATCTCTCCATGCAGTATAACCAAGCATTCAGGTAGCGCATAATCGGTTTTTAATCATAATATGTTTTTGAAACTTTAGAATTAGCCTCTGTGATGTATTTGAAGATAATGCAGTGAAAATGATAGTTTGAAATAAATTTTAAAAGAGAAAATGACACTTTGGGAAAAAGACTATACTTACTATTATACCCATCCATATTTATTGATTGTATGGGTAAAAAATAATAAATAATATAAAAAGATGGAGTATAGCTTACGTTGACTTTCAGGATTTTTTTTTAGTGAAAATTCACACTTTAGCCTAATAGGCACACAAACATTTAAAAACAAGATTTAAAAATTTTACTTTAAAAATTATTAGTGATCAGCAGTAGTTTGAAGTCATCAGTCAGGGACCATCCTCTTCTAAATTTGTATTTCTTTGTTTTTATATGTTTCAAATCGAGGAAAATTAATTTCAGGCTCGAGTGGGTGGATCATTGACCATTTGTACTCATCATCACATTAAGAAATCCAGAGTTGTACAAAAAGGCGGTCATAAAAGATTTTTCTAACTTGTGACCACACAATAAATAAGAATTAATTTTCCTTAGCATTTTCAAGTTATAATTTTATTAAATATACTAAAACTACTGTCTTAATTCATAATTGGTTTTACAGGAAAATCAATATTTTATAATTTATAGATAACATTCATGAATTTTATAATTCATAGAGTTCCTTTTGTTTTCTTTTTTCCTTTAGATTCTGTATACTGGAATTGTTATCTATGCCCCTGCACTGGCTTTGAATCAAGGTACATTTTATTTCATTTTTCTCTCTTTTCTTAGTATATGTTTGTGATACATGGTAAAGACATTTACTGTGGGGAATTGGTATACATATACATATTACATCTTGATCTTTTTTATTTTCTTCCCCTCCCCTCCTTTCTCTCCCACCCCCAAATCTTGTTCCTTTCTCTACATAGTCTATCTTGTTGTTTTCTATTATCTATCTTTTACTTTGCTCTTTATATTTTGGGTTTCTCATATAAAAGACAGATCATGTGATATTTAGCCTTCTGTGTTTGATTTATTTCACTTAGCATTATGATCTCAAGGTGTATCTATTTTCCCACAAATGACTCAGCTTTATCCTTCTTTATGGCTGAGTAGTACTCCACTGTGTGTAAATATCACATTTTCTTTATCCATTCATCTGTTGATGGACATACAAGCCACTTCCATGATTTAGCTATCAAGGTACATTTTCAAAGTGGCAAATCATGTCACTCAGTTTGGGGTTCAATTTCAGTAAGCCTTATTCTCTTGGTGGGCAGAGAGAGATGGAAGGATATGGCCAGACAGGCCTATCAGGGTTATGGTGCTGAGACGGTTTCAGTATCTACACTGGCACCTTTGGGTTTCTGCGTGGACTGCTTCCAAGTGTCTGCAGGTTTCGGAAAGGAGGACTCACCAGATCTGCTTCTCTGGGCTGTGTGCCCCAGCTGTCCCCCAGTGCTGTGGGACAGACGCCCTGCTTTGTGTCCCGAGGACTCGGGTGCACTGAGAAGTCAGGTTGGGAGAGCAGCCCTTTCCCTCCCCAGCTCTGAGGCTCCAGAGGCAGAGGAGCCAGGAGACTGACCCAAAAGGCCAGCAGCTTCCAGAGACAGCAGGGTGCTGGCGGCCGCGTCCTTCTAGGTGAACTCAGTTGTGCTGATCCACAAATTCCCTGCCGGGGCAGCAGCAGTGAGGCTGGGCTCATTTTATCGAGGCAAAGGTTCACGCTGGTCCTGCCTTCAAAGCATTTCAGGAAACCTCAGGCTCCTTGAATTTTATCAGTCGGGGAAGTGAGTTTATCTCTAAAAGTTCCTTGTAAAATGGACAAGTGGAGTCTGACGGAAAAGAATGTGGTTTGGTTCCGGGAGTTAATGTCGTAGGGAGCAAACCTGCCGCCCCGCCCTGTTGTCTTGATTTTATAATAGATGCGATAGTTACTCTCGCCGTTTACAAAGCACGACAGGATCATTGCACAGGGGGGTTCGTGATAGAAAGCGCTCTTACCCGGGTGCCAGATGTGGGCCGGGCCCTGCGGGCAGCACCAGGAGCGGCTCATTTCCTATGTCAAGAACGGAGCTAGCTGTAGACGCCACTCGCTACCTATTTGTCTTGAGCATAGTTGAAGATATTAGAGTTTTAGAGTGCTTTAATGACTTCAATCTGTGAAGAAATCAAGGCTTCTGCTCTTCTTAGACTCGAAGTACCAAGCAGGAGAGACTAGGACCCGTGACTAGTGACTGTGACCCCGGAATGCCACTTGTGCACGGGCACCATTGCAGTGCTCGGTGCCTAACAGATGCCAAACAAGCACTTGTCTAACCCAACCCTAGGCTCAATTTCTTTTTCAACTTTCTTCTTTTGTTGTAGAAAACTTCTCTAAAATGGAGACTAGTGACTGAGGCCTAACGTATCCACGACCCTACAGTAATAATTATCCACTCGTGGTCGATTTCAGTTCACTGCTGACTTTCTCCAATAGATCGATTTGCTGTAAATTTGAAATGTCACCTTATTCCACCTGCATTTCAGTATGCTCTTAGCTTTTATATAAATGGAAGCAATAGAGCTTTTTTGTGCCTGGTTTCTTTGGTTAACAAAATGTTTTTGAGTCGCATTCATTTTGTGACATGTATCAGTAGTTCTTTCCTTTTCTGTGCTAGAAGAATTTCATTGTACACATTTATCAAAATCTCTTTAGGTCCTCTTGTCTCTAGACATTGGATCGTTCCCAGTTTTAGGGCATTCCAAATTAAGGCTGCTAAGAACATTCTGCTACAGTTTTTGTGTTTTGTTTTTCTTTTTGACAGTTGTTTGTGTTTCATCTTGAAACATAATATGTGAAAACAGTGTAAAATTAAACATTCGTGTATTCTGACACAGAGCAGGATAGTTGTTTCATGAAATTTAATAGACATTGCCACATAACTTTTTGATTATTTTGACCATTTACATGTCCATTTCACGATATATAAGAATTCCACTGTAAACACATCCTTGCCACATTTGACATTAGTCCCCCCCCCCATTTTAGTGGTTATTATAGATTTTTGTATTATGGCTTTGATTTACATTTCCTGTTGACCATTTATATTGAACTTATTGGCTCATGAAATAATGAAGATGAATTTTAAAAGACAAGTAATTTAGTAAAAAGTAGGCAAAGGACTTGAACACACACTCTACAAAAGCAATATTCTTCCAGTGCATTCATTATATGGTGAATCAACATATTCACTCAGGACTTTCACATTTTCTCTCAGTCATGTTTTGCAGCTCTTGATGCTAAAGTCTTGAGTATATTTCTTAGATTTTTTTCAAGGTAACTGATCTTTTACATTATTCCAAATGCTATCATTTCATAATATTTTCCAATTACTCATTGCAATTATATAAAATATAATTGATTTTTACAAGTTGATCTTCTATCCTGGTTGCTGGCTAAATTTGCTTTTTCATTCAGTTCGGTTTGTGGAGACCTAGTAGGAGTTTCATGTTTATGAATAAGCCAGTGTTCCCTCTCTCCTGACCTTTATGCCTTTTAGTTCTCCTTGTCCTGCTGCACAGTTGATGTGGGAAGTAAAGCACTAAATAAATTTTGCAGTCTTGGGATAAACCCCATTTATGACCATATCTTATCATTCCTCTTACACACTAGTCCACTTGCCTTGGGAATGTTTTGTTAAGGATTTTTGCAGTTCATGAGGAATATTGCTCTGAAGTTTCATTTTCCTGGAGTGTCTCTGTCAGACTTTTTATCAGCTGTGCTGGCTTCATAGATGAGTAGAAAAGTGTTTCCCTTCTGTTTCTTGAAAGAGTTTATATAAAATTGTGTATAATGTTTGATAGAATTAAAAATAAAGGCACCAGGGTCTGATATTTTTGCTTTTGTGGATTTTGGTTTATTAATCAAATTTCTTTAGTGAATTTAGTTATTAATATTTTCAACTTCTTTGGTGTCAATTTTGATAATATCTTTTTTCAGGGAGTTTATTTTTCTAACTTATAAACTTCCTTGCCACAGTTGTTTATAATATCCTCTTTAAAACTTATATCTTTAGTGATCTCCCTTCTACTTGTTCCTAATAGTGATAAAATGCCTTTTTATCTCTTTTTTTACTAATATTTATTTATTGTTTTCTGAGACAAGGTCTTGCTGTGTAGCCCAGGCTGACTTCACATTCATGGTGATCCTCCTGCCTCAGCCTCCCAAGTGCTGGGATTACAGGTGTGCTCCACCATACCCAGCTAATTGATGTTTTTAATCATTTGTAAGAACAAGTTTTGTGTTTTGTTGATTTTCTACTTCCTTAATTTATGCTGTTTCATTAATTTATTTTTTTCTATTTATTTTGTGTTTAACTTCTCTAGTTTAAAGATAGAAGTTTAGGTCACTAATTTTACCTATTTTTTATTTTATAACATATGTTCTTAAAGTTATAAATTTTTCTTTAAGCAGTACATTCTCTGCACCCCACAAATTTTGCAAGCTTGTGTTTTTATTTTCTTTCAGTTCAAAATATTTTCTAATTTTTCGTGTGTTTTGTTTTCTCTATGGGTTATTTAGAAGAGTGTTGCTTAATTTTCAAATATTGGGAGATTTTCTAGTATGTGATTTTGTCACTGATTTCTAAATGAATACTGCTTTGGTCAGACAACTGCTATCATTATGATTTTAATCCTTGACATTTATTGTGATTTGTTTAGTGGCGCAGGATATGGTCTACCTTTGTGAACATCCCGAGTGCTCCTAAAAAGAACATGGGTTATGCGGTTGTTGGGTGTAATGTTCTGTAAATGTCAAATGTTCATTTGGTTAATGGTGTTGTTCTAATGTTCTGTTATCTCTACTGAGTTTTAAACTTGTTCCAGCAGCCACTAAGAAAGAGATGTGAAACCTACAGGTGTAACGACTAGTTTTTCCATTTGTCAGTTTTTAATGGATGTAGCTTGAATCTCTTTTAAAGTTTCTCTTAATTTATAATCTCCCTTCTCTTTTTTTTCCTCCCTTTAAATGGCATGGCTTTGCTGAAGAAACTGCATTATTTGTTCTTGATTTTACTAATGGCATTCCCACAGGGTCACTTAATGCTTCCCAAGCCCTCTGCGTTTCTTGTGAAGTCATGGTTACATCTAGGTCTTCAGGCTGCAGTTCAGCTTTTTAGAAATATTATCTCCTAGGCCATGTTTATAAGCTTGTAGTTTTAAATTAATTAAGGTTTATAGAATGGAATCTTCTAATTCTTTTATTACTTTTTCATTAATGAGATGGAGCATTTCTATAAAGAGAGACTTGCTGATTACTTGATTACTCTATAGGAAAGGCCTGGGAAATAGCTGACTTTCCCCCATTTACTTATTAGTTTAAAAAAGAGTAAGAGGGGGCCCGAGCAGGGAATGCAGCAGCAGAGCACACAGCCAGCGTGGTGCCCAAGGCCCTGGCTTTGGTCACCACCACCCCAAAAATAAGTAAATAAAAAGCAAAATGAAGGGCTGGGGATTTAGTTCAGTGGTTTCGCTGCCTGCGGCGCAAGCACAAGGACCCAAGTTCGATCCTCAGTACCAAAATAAAAAAAAGAAAGGATCTAGACAACTCAAGTTGAATAAAAAGCCTCATTAAAAAAAAAAAAAAGCAAAATGAATTGGTTCTGTATTATCTCCTAAATCAACTTAGATGTTTTGTTTAGATATGCATCATTATGAATTTCTGATGCAAACCTGTGATGCTGCTTCATACCATAAGGTTGGTGTCATTATCACTGGTCAGACTGCCCTGTCTTATCCAGCAGGGGCCACCTAGTGGGGGCTCTGATTTCTCCACCCAGGCTGCACATTGATTTATTTGAGGATCTTTAAAAAGTACTGATACTGGAGCATGTACCCCACAGCTCTGAGTAAATGAGCCCTTCGAATGGTCAAGTCATCAGAATTTAAGTCTCCTCTAGTAGATGGGCATGGTGGCGCACGCCTGTAATCCCAGCACGCAGGAGGCTGAGGCAGGAGGATTGCCATGAGTTCGAGGCCAGCCTGGGCTACACAGTGAGACCCTGTTTCAAAAAACCAAACCAAACCAAACCATACAAAACAAAAACCACCATCAACAATAAAAATCTCCTCTGGCGATTTTAATGTACAATCAAATTAGAGAATGACTGAGGTAATAGTTTTAGAATGATTTTCCGATACTGTAACTCATAATATGATGGCTGAAAGAAGTTACAGATTTTTTTCTTTGCAGTTCTCTTTCCCTTAGGGTATATCCCTGGAGGGGTGTATATTAAATTGCTATGCTTTATTTTTAATTCTTTGTTTGTTTTAAGACATCATCCTATTATGTAGTTCAGGCTGGACCTGAACTCACTATGTAGCCCAGGGTGGCCTCAAACTCATGGTGACCTTCCTGCCTCAGCCTCCCAAATGCTGGGATTATAGGCACGTGCCCCCATGCCCAGCTAAATTGCCCTGTTTTAAAGTCTTGTGGCATATTTTTCTCTGTATGATGATGTCACAAACTTGATACACAGCTAGGTTCAATTTGTTTCATTTTACTTTTGAAGTTGTTTTAAATGTATTTATAATTATGTAGAATATGTGCATGATTCCAAAGTGAAATCTAAAAATATATTTAGACAAGTCTAACATACATCCTTGGGTCCTATACTTTGTTCTCTTCTTCTTTGGGTAACTGGGTTTTTTTTGTTTGTTTTTCTTTCTTTTTTTTTGGTACCGGGGATTGAACTCGGGTCCTTGTGCTTACGCAGCAGGTGGCGAAACCAATGAGCTAAATCCCCGGCCCTTTTGTTTGTTTTTCATTTGTCCTTTAAAAAAATATCACACACTCCTCCACTTTTCAGATAGATGGTAGCCCAGTACATAGACTTTTCTCCATCCGAGCTCTGTCTTAATAGCGTGCATCCTAGTGCTGGGTCTTTCAAGGACCGGTCAAATTGTAGTTTGTCTGAATGGCATCTCACCGCAGAGGGGGACCCACACTCGGAGCCATCAGTCTGAACAGCTGCTTCCTGGCAGCGTCAAGCTGCTGCTTAGCTGAGTTGCGACAGCGGTGCTCTGCCTCTTTGGAGTAGCCGTGTTGGAGCTGAGTAGAGACCACACCCACGGCTGTTTACCTCGTCGAAATCTATTTTAAATCCCATGGTTTTGTGACATTCATGAGGTTGGAGCCTACTTTTCGGGAAGTAGACATAGGAAGATGCTCAATAAATGAGATCACTTTCCTCCCCGATAATTCCTGACATGTTTTTGCATATGTCGCAGCTGAACATGCCTTTCCTTTTCTTCTGCAGTCACAGGATTCGATCGGTGGGGTGCGGTGGTGGCTACGGGCGTGGTCTGCACGTTCTACTGCGCGCTGGTACGTATGTCAATGGCACCATTTCTACCTCGCTCTACCTAGTAACTTTGCAAAATGGAAATTTCTAGCTGTGCTGAGTTCTGAGCTGTAAAATGGGTTGTTCACACCTATTCTGCCCCGACCTCCCACCATATGACTTTACTTGTAAGGAATATTTGGTTTGTGGTCCCATTGGACCCTTGGTAGAACACAAGTCCCAAATGAATTTTGTTTCTTTCATCTGAATCACTACATTGATTGGTTTCATCTCCTGGTCCATCCATGCTGTAGCCAGATTATTAGACCTGTGCTCAGGTAATTCCTCAGTGCAGAAGCCTGCGACTACTTCCTGTTGCTCATAGCCAGGAGCGGCAAAGTATGTAAAAACGGTATGGCAGGACCTGAGATGGATGTGCATTTTCAACAGCGATGTGTATCTTATGGGATCTTTGATATTCTAAATATTAGCTGTCTAGTTGCTGGATCTCATAGAAGACAGGGACCCCAGTGTTTGTGGCAGTGGCTAGTACAAAGCAATGTTGGAATCCCAACAGCCACTGTGACTGGGCACACGCTGATTGGATGAATATCAGCCCCACCTATAGGATAAAAGCTGACGTTGATTTGTGCAACTCGATTCTGAAGGTTTCTTCTTAGCAATCTCCCGCCCCCTTCCACTCCCCTTCAGTGCTTGTGTATCTGAACATCTCTCTTGAGTGCATTTCTTAGCCAGTGTCTGGGTTTTCAACATTTTTTTCCAGCACAGTGTATAAGCGTGTGGACATTAATCCCAATGCCCTCTCTCTTCCAAGGGTGGTCTCAAAGCAGTTGTCTGGACAGATGTTTTTCAAGTGGGCGTCATGGTGGCTGGATTTGCATCTGTGATTATACAGGCTTCGGTAGTTCAAGGGGGCATCGACACAATTTTAAGTGATGCCTACAATGGTGGCAGATTAAACTTCTGGAAGTAAGTTGCTCTTCACTCCCAGGTTAAAGGACACAATTTCTATTTTCTCTGTAAAAATAACCCCTTTTGAAATAGTGGGTTTATGTTAGAAAATAGCCACAAAAGACAGAAGCTGGGCAGGTCAATGTGGAAGGGGTTCCTGCCAGTTTTTCTAAGGGGTTGGAGCAGCCAGACGTTTCTTAGCTGCATGGCTTTAGGATGGTGCCTCTGCCTGAGAAGGGACTAGGAGAAAAGAAGCATTTTCCTCCAAAAATTAGTCTGGAACCGTTGCAAGGTGGTGTAGGATGATAAGGGAAGAGATTGTAGAAAGAAAAGAAAATGAAGTCTCTTAAGAGAAAAACACCAAGAGACATTTTGACAATTTTGACAATTCTGTTTCAAGCAATCTGCAGGGTTTCTCTTTTGATAGCACCCTGGCAATAGGTAGTATATTATGTGTAGTATTAATATAGTATATTATCATTACATAGTATTTTTTCTCTTATGTATACCTGTATGATAGTTCCAGAAAATTGACTACAACAGTTATGACTGATGTTTGGAATGACAGCAAACACAAAGTATAATATAATATGTCTTAAGTAGCTGTTCAGTTTTCCTAAAAGAAAAAAAAGGGAAAAACTAGATTATTTCATCCCAAATATTTCATAAAATTTAAAGGAAGTTTTTAAAAACAACCCCCCCCCTCCTTTGTATCATTAGTATCAGGCTTGTAATCCCATTGAGTGTGGGAAGAGTCTTATTTTGATCTGCACCACCTCTTTTTCTCTTTGAGCAGCCTCTCACTGAGAGAGCCAATCAGAAATTACAGCAAGACGAAAGAAAACCACAAAGCTACTGATGGCTCTTTTCTGGTCTTCGAAAATAGCGACTAAAACTTGAGAAAAGCTGTTTTGGAAATTGAGTTAATATGTTAGTTTATAGAAATGAATTTCATTAAACCAAATGAACCCATTTTCATAATTTTTCCCCATGACCCCAAGATTCAAGTTTCCTGGAAGAAAGCCCTGAGTTGGCCTCTCCTGGACTCTGGCTCCATCCCATGCCCAGGGCGGAGTCACTGAAACTATTTAATGGGATGGTGGTATAGTTTCCCCAAGGCAACCCCTGGTTGCTTTTATTGGGAAAGTGGAGGAATGGATGCCAGGAATCAGAAACAACCAGTAGCTTCTTAGGAGATCTTGATTATGTTCACATCTCTTCCTAGGAAAGGCTATGGGGAGGTATGAAACCAGTCATTTCTCTTCAGGATCACTGTCACTTTAGACAAAGGACACACATATTCTGCCAATGAAGCTGTAGGTTATGCATCATAAGAGATTTCAAAAAATAAAATTAGATATTTTTATGACCTTAACTTTGAAGGTTACAAACTACTGAGTAATAATGAAAAGCTTTATCATGTTTTAGACTTTTCAAGAGTATCCTTTCTTTTCCTAAAATGTTTTAGAATATGGAGGACACAATATCTGTTTTGGTTGAGATAACTGAAGAAGAGAAGGACTGACAGTACTGAATTAAATATTCTAGCTCTTAGCTTATTTCTTTCTGATAGCCCACTGAATAGTTTTGGCTCTTGACGTCCATTAGCTAATATTATAGCTACTTTATGGGAAAAAGAGTCAACACTCCTGAAACTCTTAGACTTTGATACTAAATGTTAGGCAATGGGATACAATCTCTCACTTTTCTGTAGAAATACTGTGCTTAAATATATGCGAAGTCACAGTGGTTTACTCAACGGACCTCAAATATAAGATTTGGAATAGATTTGGAGAATTTTATAATTTTTTTTTCTTTGGTACCGGGGATCGAACTTGGGTCCTTGCTCTTGGGAGGCAAGCGGTAGAACCATTGAGCTAAATCCCTGGCCCCAGAATTTTTAAATTTTAAAAAGTGTATTAGTCATTTTTCCCATCACTGAGACACAATATCCAATAACCACAAATTAAAGAATGAGAGTTTTTATTTGGCTCATGTTTTAAGGGGATTAAGTCCATGGTCAGCTGGATCTAAGGCAGGAGCTTCATGGCAGAAGGGCCTGGTGGAGCAGAGCAGTTTAGTTCATGGCATCTGGGAAGCAGAGCAAGGGAACAGTGCCAGAGAGAAAGGGGTAAGGGACCAGTACCCAAGCTCACACCTCCGTCACCCGTCCAGACACACCCAGAAGTGTGTCCCACCAATCCTCTGGAAGGCCCCAAGCCAATCACATTAGCAAAGTCAAGCTTAACCACCACAGTGTTCAGGAAAATTAATTTTTCACACAGTTTTCAAGTTCATATTGTATGTCAGAGATAAACAGATTACTTCCTAGGTAGTATATTAAAAAGGTTAAGGGTTATGTAGAACATGGAAGTTGAGCTTTCTTTGTAACAATATTTTGGACTTATGCACACGTCACAAAATGGTTTTAAACTACTAGTATTTAGCTTGTACCCGCAGGATTTTAGGAAAACACAATTATAATAACATATGGTAATTTTAGCAAGTGAAAAGTCTTTAAACTGTGCTAATTGACTGGGTTCTTGACCTTGAATTTGAATTAGAACTACAGCTCTACATGTGCTAGGAGAGGAATTGTAGACATAAAGTGTGTTAATTTAGTGTTCACTTCAGTACCGTGTTGGTTGCTATGATGCACTTAGGAATCCCCCCCAATTACAGCTTGGCAGATTGTTTAACAAGTTTCCTAAAACCATGGGAGAACAATTTCTCTAAATGCTCAGAATCATTAGAGCACTAATTTTCCCTCAGTCCCACCTAGAATTTCCAAATCTCTGAAAATAATAATTGTTATTTCAATGATCTTGAGTTGGAAATAGTCTTATCTTTTATATTACTTAATTTTTTTACAGACATATATGTCTATAGGTATATATTGCTTACATTGAAAAATGTTCTAGAAGGATTTTCTTTAGTGTTTGGTCAATAATTCGGGTTTGTTTTCTGTTTCTTTTCATTTAGTTTTAACCCTAACCCTTTGCAAAGACACACGTTCTGGACGATTATTATAGGAGGGACCTTCACGTGGACCAGCATCTACGGAGTCAACCAGTCGCAAGTGCAGAGATACATTGCCTGTAAAAATAGATTCCAGGCAAAACTGTAAGCCAAACCACAGTGTGTGGATCATCAACAACCATGGTGGTCCTTATGAGACCTCCATAGTCAGATTTAGCTCAAGTTTAAGTCTTTTGTATCAGGCAGTTCCAAGAGATAAATGGTCTACTTGGTTAAAAAGGACCAGGCAGAGCAAAGTGATACTGTATGTTTTAAATCAGATATTTGAAAATATATGAATTATTAAGTAAAACAACTTTATCAAATAAATAAGCAGTTGAAGGATCTATGGGAGATTAAAAAAATATAAATAGAGCCTGGGGTTTAGCTGAATGGCAGAGCACTTGCCTAGTATTCATGAGGCTCTCAACACTTAAAAAATATAAATGTGTAGAGCCCTTGTCATAATGGAACTTAACATCAAAGTAGGAAAAAATATGCAAGTGTGTAAAAGTGAAAGATGGAACAAAACAGACTACGGAACCCAGGGAACATGTTTTCACCAGCTCACTATTGCTAGTCCTACGGAAACCATGAATCCCTGCTGAATACCAAAACTTACTGCGGTCAGTTGACAAGGGACAGTACCAGTTGTTCATAAGTGACCTATCTGAACATCACTGAAGTCTAATAAACAATGTGATTTTAGAGTGTTAAACTCAGTCATCAGCGAGGGAGGTGGTGAGCAAGATTGCACCTGCACACAATGGGATACCAGTGCTACAGTGGTTTTAGGCAATAAAGAAACGTGCTGATATTAGTCAATGCAGGGGAAAAGGCTAGCAGTCTGTCTTTCGGCATCTGCTACAGGAGGCGGGTGTGGTTCTCCTGGAAACAGACTCTGAGGTGGATGTCGGCATGCAAGAATTTACTAGGGAATCATCAGCTGTGGCATTGGAGAGCAGGAAGCAGGAGTCTAATGCAGTCTCAATGGAGGCTGCAGGGGGAGCTCTAGAGCTGAGTAACCTCTGTCTGGTCCCATGTTAGGGTGAAGGGAGTGGGTCTCTAAGTCCCTGACCCACTAGTTTGTGAGCACAGGCTGACCTTGGGGAAGAAGGCCTGGCCTTTGGATGGTACCTCTCTCCAGGCTGGGGTAGCTCAGCATGCGATCACTCTAGCACCACTGGGAAAGAGGCAGAGCCACCTTAGTGACAGGTAAGCTTGCTGCTCTCTGATTGAGTCAGCGCACCCACAGACACTTATAGTATCCGTCACCAGCGTCTAACAAGTGTGTATCACCTGCCAAGTATGGCGCTGGATGATGCACTGTTTCCCTTGGTCTTGTAACTGTGACAGGGGGATTTTTATCCTAAGAGTAAGTGAAGAAACTGAGGATCAGAGAGCCTAATTACTTGCTCATAGTCATGTTTGGTAGAGCTAGGATTTACAGTCAGAGCTGAGCCCAGTGCTGTTACATAAACATTCATACTCTACAAAAGCTCACTGCAGATGTCATCACGCTGAGCCGGGTTTGACAAGAAACTTGTGTGGGGAATGCAGGCTTGTGTCTTAACTTCATGGTGGTCTCACAAACTACACTGAAACGTGTTTGGTGAGTTGCTATGTAGATGCTAATTGTGTTTAGCAGTTTATGATCATATTACTTGTAAAAGGAAAATGAATAATAGTCACTGCTCTGTTGCTCATGAAAATAAGTTCCTGACAAGAAGACCGGAAGTAATGCATTAGATGCCATGATAAAACTACTGGTGGCTATGACATTCCAGCCAGAAGGACGCGCACATTCAGTAGGAAAACGCCATTTGTTACAAATATTATCAAATACGTTATTGACCGACATCATAGGGAGATTAGAATAGAAAGAAAAATAGCATTTTTTGGAAACCATCATCGTGCAACATAAGAAAGAAATGGAATCCATGAAACAGATTCAAACAGATATTCAGGAGATTAAAAACTCCATTGAAAGCATGCAGAGCAGACTAAGAGAATCTGAAGACAGAATATCAGATATAGAAGACAGGATCGCAGTTAAGGACCATGAAAACAGATTTCTTAAAGATAGTAAAGGACCATGAGAAATCAATTCAACAGCTGCTAGATGATGCAAAGAAGAATAACATAAGACTCATAGTAGTCTATGAAAAAACAAAAGAAAGTACAATTGACATAAAAAAACTGTTCACAGGAGTAATAGTAGAAAACTTCCGAGACAGAGGTAGAGAATTGGACACACAGATAAGTGAGGCATATAGAATTCCACCCAGCCACGATCAAAAAAAATCTACACCTAGACATATAATAGTCAAGATCCCAGAAACCCAACAGAAGAACAAAATTCTACAGGCAGTTAGAGAAAAGAAACAAATCACCCACAAAGGAAAGCCCATCAGAATCACGGCAGATTTCTCAACACAAACCCTCAAATCAAGGAGAGCCTGGAGTGAAGTAGTTCAAGCTCTAAAAGAAAATAACTTCCAACCTAGACTGTTGTATCCAGCAAATTTATCTTTCAAAATCGATGGGGAAATTAGATACTTTCACGACAAAGAACACCTGAGAAATTTCATGAACACCAAACCATCACTCCAAACAATTTTATGCAATATCCTAGAAAAAGACAATGAAGGTCACAACTCCATGAAGGCCAACAGAGAGAAGACACCATGCAAGGTAAGGCACTAAAGGGAAAGGAGGAAAAATAAGAAAAGAGCCAACAACAATAAAACATCATGGCAAGAATGAGTCAATATCTCTCAGTTATAACTATCAATGTTAATGGCCTCAATTTGCCAATCAAAAGAAACAGACTGACAGAATGGATTAAGAAGCAAAACCTAGCAATATGCTCTGTACAAGAAATTCACCTAACTCAAAAGGAAATTCATAGACTGAAAGTAAAAGGATGGAACACAGTTCTCCATGTGACAGGATCCCAGAAAAAAAGCAGGGGTAGCAATCTTATTTGCAGACAAGGTAGATTTCAAACCAAAACTAATTAAGAGAGACAAAGATGGTCACTACATCCTTGGGAAGGGAAAATCCAAGAGTAAGAGATGACAGTCCTAAATATATATGCACCAAATACAAATGCCCCCAACTATACAAAACAAATATTAACAGACATGAAAAACCAAATAAACAATAACACAGTTGTAGTGGGGGACTTCAATACCCCTCTATCACAAATAGACAGATCATCTAGGAAAAAGATTAACAATGAAATTCTAGAACTGAAGCAAGCTATTGAACAAATGGACTTAATAGATGTTTATAGAGTATTCCACCCCACAAAATCAGAATACACATCCTTTTCAGCTGCATACAGGTCATTCTCCAAAATAGATCACATACTAGCTCATAGGGCAAATCTAAGTAAATGTAAAAGAATTCAAGTTATCCCCTGTATATTTTCAGACCATAGTGCAATAAAATTGGAGATCAATAATATAAGAAACCGCAAAACATCCACAAACACATGGAAATTGAACAACACTCTCCTGAACAACCAATAGGTCACAGAGGAAATAAAAGAAGAAATTAGACAGTTTCTACAAGTAAATGATAATGCCAGTACAACATACAGGAATCTGTGGGACACAACAAAAGCAGTTCTATATGGGCAATTCATAGCAGTGAATGCCTATATTAGGAAAACAGAGAGAACTCAGTTAAATAACCTAATACAGAACCTCAAGCTCCTAGAAAAAGAAGAGCATAACAAACCCAAAGCTCATATAAGAA